TAAGCCACCGTGTTTGGGAATCTTGTCAAAGGCCCAATCTGTGTGCTAACTAATATACAGGATAATGTGGGAGTTTTAGTTACGGCTCCCATACACCCAACACAAAAGAAGCTACGGGGACCCAGCCCTGCCACAACACTGAGACCTTATTCAGGAGGTGCTGAGTTAGCGTCTGTGTGCATTCCCACCCCAGCTGCGCATGTTTCTTCTCTTCCTTTGACTAACAGAGGGCCCAGCCTCTTCTAGAATTTCCTTTCCTTGTGCAGGGAGCTGGTACAAGAGACAACATGATTGAATCCTCTCTGGCTCCTCCACGAGTCACTGCTTGATTTCAAGTCTGCCTCACCAAACCAGTCCTGAAGTCTCAGTGCCCAGAGCCGTCAGCAAACCTCCCACTCCCTCTTTGTGTTGGCATATGTCACTGTGCCATGCTGGAGGAGTCGGCTAAAGCTGTTTACCTGCTTCCTTTAAAACCCCTGGAGGTGTTCTTAAAATTCTGCTTTGAGCAGCAATATGGACAGGAATGGCAATGAGGCGAGAAAGCAATGGGGATAAATAGAATATAACAAAACAAAATTGTAATGAAATTACATGGAGTAGCAAGAAGGAACTTTTGAGAAAGTAGTATGTTGTTTAAACCCATTATTACACACACACACGGATATGTATACATATACGCACACACATATCTATGTATATGTACACACATAATTTAAGGCGATCTTACCATTTTTATGGAGCTCACCCATTCATACCACAGGCCATGTCCCAGGCTGAGTGCAACTCCACAGCCTACTCTTCTAGGCTAAAACAATAACGACAACTAAAAAACAGTACACTTAAAATAGTCGTTTAACATGCTTGAAAAATAACGGCATCTAGAATCAGATTCCTATTGCAAAAGCCACCACATGAGCTTCCCTGCTGACTTGTGTAGGGTCACAGACCGTCTGACTGTGAGATGTGGACAGAATCAGCCCATACAAAGCAAAGGGCTAAAACCTGGCTCACAGAGAATCACCAGCTGCCCAAGTTAGGAAACCACTCGTCCAATCTCCAGGAAACAAGGCTCAAAGAGGAGAAGATCAAGAGTTAGTCAGTGGCAGAATCAGGGCTCAGAACTCCTCTCTTCAACACTCAGCAGCACCTGATGGTCTCCCTGTTTGAGTATTCTTGCTCTATGATGGCACGCTACACCCCCGCAATAGAGGGAAACTCCTGAAACTTAGAATTCCTCACTCTCCACCACCCTCTTATTTCCTAGAGTCATGCCACTCTGTCACCTGCCTTACCCGACTCTGACCCACAGGCCTGGCCACCTGTCTTGGCCCTAATGCCATGGGGACTAGGCAGAAGGGAAAGTTAAGAGGGAAGGCAGGAGAGGAGTGGGGCAAGCTCCTCTTTGCGAGTGGGGAGGCTGAGGTAACAATGACAGGAGAATTCTGGCACTGCCTCCCTTCCGCAGTCCAAGAACAACATCCACATCTCCGCCTCCCACGTGCTGACACACAGTCTCTTTGTCTTGGATTGAAACTTTCAGCACTAAAACCCACTGACTAAGTCTTCTTTCTCCCAAGAGTTGAATGGATTTAGGAAGAGTTTCTAAAAGTCACCTGAAGGGAGGTTTGTGACCAAAGCAGAAGAGTGGTTTCTGGGTTTTGCTCTTCCTCTGGAGTGACTCTGTAGGAGAGGAGCTTGCTGGAAGCAAGACACTAACATTCTCCGGCCCCTAGGTAGACACAAATTCTCTTATGAGAGTGACCCACAAAAACCCAGTATTGATGGGGCATGAGTTCCTTCTGGAAAAGGAGGGCCTTGCTCCTGATAAGCTGGGAGCGGGCAGGCAGGAGTGTGGACAGTCCTTGGTATGCAATCATATCAGTAACAGCATCTATTCCCAACCCTCATTCCAGCAGCGTTTCTTTTTTCTTTTCTTATTTTTTTTTTGAGGAAGATTAGCCCCGAGCTAACATCCATGCCCATCTTCCTCTACTTTATATGTGGGACACCTGCCACAGCATGGCTTGACAGCAGTGTGTAGGTCCGCACCCAGAACCTGAACCGGTGAACCCCAGGCCACTGAAGTAGAACGTGGGAACTTAACCACTGCACTATTGGGCCGACCTCCCAGCAACGTTTCTTTTTTTCTTTTTTTTTTTTTTTTTGAGGAAGATTAGCCCTGAGCTAACTACTGCCAGTCCTCATCTTTTTGCTGAGGAATACTGGCCCTGAGCTAACATCCGTGCCCATCTTCCTCTACTTTATATGTGGGACGCCTACCACAGCATGGCGTGCCAAGCGGCACCATGGCCGCACCCGGGATCCGAACCTGCGAACCCCGGGCCGCTGAGAAGCGGAACGTGAGAACTTAACCGCTGCGCTACCGGGCCGGCCCCCCAGCAACGTTTCTTAATATAACATCTGGTCATTGTTTAAATAGTTATTACAATTCCAAAAAAACACTGAGGAGCTTGGATCACAATTATCATTCAGTGGTGGTTCGTTTACAACTTTAAAATGTAATCACATGGATATAGACCCCGCAAAAGACAAGAAATATTCTGAGGAAATTGACATGTTGCACATTAGCGTTGGTCCTTGTCTACTTTTGATTGATATAAATATGTTCTCAAAGCACTTCTTAGGGGCACCCAAAGATATGCGAAATGTTTAAAGTACCACACCCTTAAATCCTCCGATTCTTCCCTATGGGTCATTAGGCTGATATTATTCAACCCAGGCATACTTTAAAAATGCAGCTAAAGGACTGATAAATATGGAAGATCTAAAATGGACAGTCCATCTGTGCAAGTCTAAATTTCATGAAATGACTATAAAAAGAGGAAGATTAAAGAAAGAAAAAAATATACTGAGTGGTTACTATGTGTCAGACACTGTCCTGTGTGCTTTATAGATAACTTGTTTAAGCATCATAACAATCCCATGAGCTAGGTACTATTACTAATCCCATTTTACAGATGAGGAAATTGATGTCCAGCATGGTTTGGTAGCTGGCTCAAGGCCACTGAGCTACTTAAGTGGCAGAGTGATGGAACTGACCCAAGAAAGTCTGACTCCCATAGTATACTCTTAACCAGTATGCTATATTGCCTATCAACGCCCAGAATACAAGTGTCATTCTTAAAATAAAATGCAACATTTTTGAGATGTGTTCATTCATTTAATATATATTTAGTGACAGTGTTTCTTACCAGGCACTTTGCACTAGGAGCTGAGGATACAGACAGAAGAAAATGAGTAGGTTCCTGCCCTCTGGAGTTTATATTCTAATTGTATAGATTAGAATTGAACAAAAATCACCATGGAAATAAATAAAATTAATGTAAGCTATAGTAAGTGCTATGAGAGAACTGAAGACCCTGATGTTAAATAAGGGAGTGGACTCTCTTCACCTGAGTTCTCCTTGGGAAAGTTTGGCGAGGGATTGCATGCAGGTAGTTTATTTGGGGAAGTGAGCCCAGGGAACAGGAGTAGGACCGGGGATAGAAAAATAAAGACAGACAAAAAGCTAAAACTAGGGTATAGTCTCAAGTTGGTCACTGTTGTGGTCCATTGAGGACGATCCTGTTGGGACACTAAGGAACTGTGTAGAATGCACCTCAAAACTGTCCACCCGAGGGATCGAAGAGAGAAGCACTGGCCCACCCGTTCCCATTGGTCACGGGTTGTCGATTCCCTCCCATTCCTAGGCTGTGCATGCAAAGCTCCACTGCAGCATCAGAGAAACCCTGGCAGAAACCTGAAGAAGCCAGGTACAGCTGAGGCAAGGCGCAGTCAGGTGACACTTGGATAATGCTATTGCTGCCACAATGGCTGGCATAAGAGGTGGGCTGAGAGAGTTTGAGGCAGGCACAAGAGATGACCTGCTTAGGTGGGTGGGTCAGAGAAGGCTTCTCCCTGGAGGTGACTTATAGCTGAGATCTAAGGAAGAGAAGGAATTAAGAATAGCAAGAGCAGGGAGAAGACCATTTCCAGGCACAGGAAACAGCATGTTGAGAGGCCCTGAAAAAGAGCATGCGTCTTTCAGGAACTGAAAAATCAGGGTAGCCATGGTGAGTAAGGGGGTGAGGTAGCCCAAGATGTTGGAGTAAGAAGGGCAGAGCTCAGAGCATGCAGAGCCTTGGGGGGCATGATAAGGATTTTATTTTAAGTGAATAGGAACTCCACTGAAGGATCATAAAAATGTACCTTACTAATCTCTGAGAACCATAGGTATGAAGCTGAAACCTCATTCTACCCTGGGAAGGACAAACTGGTTGACAGTACCATTGACTAAAGGTCTAAAACCAGGACCAAGAGCAAGGGCTCTTGGTTTCCTGCCAAGTTGGGGCAAGACAAACAGTTTGTCCTGGGCTGCAGAGCTGGGTCAAGAGGCAGGAATCCAGTCTCCAACATATTGTTCTTGACAACAACTTAGAACCAAGGCTAGGATGGGACCAAGAGTAAGACTAGGTGGATACTGCTTGGGGAACTCCTAAGAGTCAAGGTACCTTTATTTCCTTTGTCTGTTGCCAGCATTGATCATCATTTTAGAGAAAGTTCCAAATCTCCAAGATGTGGGGGAACAAGAACTCTGAAAGGAACTCTTATACTGGGCGCTCCTGACTCTCTCCTGGTGAGCTGCATTTTCATCTTCCCCTGGGAAGTCTTTATCTTTGATTTCTGCTGCAAATGCTGTGCTGGGCCCAAGGGGAGGCATTGACATTCTGGTCCAAGCCTCAACAAAACCCCTTTCCCTTGAGATATTTGTTGAACAGGAATTGCCTGTCTATGTTTACTTAAACATATTTGCCACATGATTAATGAGCAACATGAAACGCTTACACCTGGGGATCATTAAACATGTAATTTCCACTTCCCTTGCCCACCTGACCTTTCCTTAGCTTACAGGTACATCAATATACATCCTGTCTCTGTAATACCTTTTATGGTTGTGTCAGTCAGAGTAGGCTAACTACTTAACAAGTCCCAAATTCCAGTGGCTTAACACAACAAAAGTTTATTCTCATTTCTGTCACAGTCTTATGCAAGATTGCAATAAAGCTCTGTTCCACACAGTCATTTAGGGATCTAGGCTCGTTCCTTCTTACAGTTCCACCTTCTTCTGAGTCTGTGGAATCCTCTCCATTTGGCCGGCAGACGAGAAAAGAGAGCCTGTGGAAAAGGTGCCACTGCTCTTAAGTGAGGCACATGCACTCTGATGAGAACCAGTCTCATGGGCCACCTAGATGCACAGGGATTGAGAAGTGCCATTAATAGGGAACCCAAGAAGAAGAGGGGACCTTGGAGGTCAGTGAGCACCAGCAGCCTCCACCACAGTGGTAAAGGATAAAAAGCACCTTTCTAACCTTCCATGAAAAATATGGAAACTGTAAATGCGCTTTACCATGTAATAAAGGGCAGAGACAGAGAAGTATGCTTGGCTTCCTAAAAGGCAGATAGTGACAACACAGAGTACTAAAGTATGTTTAGGTGTCTTTTTCTCTCTCTGACTCTATAGTTGTGAAACTTCCTAGCCTTCGAAGGCTCTGTTTTACCTTTCTTTTTAATTTTGGTAAAATACACATAATATAAAATTAACCATCTTAACCAATAAGTGTACAGTTCAGTAAGTGTTAAGTACATTCACATTGTTGTGCTACCAATCTCAAGAACTCTTTCCATAATCTCAGAGTAGTAAATTGACATTCAAGGAAACTGATGAAATCTGTGTTCACAATTCCCTGCTAAAGAAACATTGTAAACATTAGAGTTCTGCGACAGTAATGTTATTTTGGTTTAAGATCAATTTTCAGTATACTGATCATTATTGAGGAATATTACTTATTGTTTGTTTTCTTATCATCGTGTTTTTTTATTTTTATTTTATTTATTTATTTATTTGTTGAGGAAGATTAGCCCTGAGCCAACATCTGCTGCCAATCCTCCTCTTTTTGCTGAGGAAGATTGGCCCTGAGCTAACATCTGTGCCCATCTTCCTCTACTTTATACATGGGACGCCTACCACAGCATGGCTTACCAAGTGGTGCCATGTCCATACCCGGGATCCGAACCGGCGAACCCCGGGCCACTGAAATGGAACGTGCACACTTAACTGCTGCGCCACCGGGCCAGCTCCTGTTTGTTTTTTAATTGTGGTAAAATATGTGACTCTGGAAAGAGAGTCGGCCGAGGCTGGGAGGATGTGCATAAACCAGAGAGGGTGTGGAGAGGTACATAATCGAACCGATGCCTGATAAATCACTTGAATGAATTCTTTCCTGATTTTCCACAGTTCTTGTTTCATAAAATAAACTCTTTGAATTGGAAGGGACCTTAAATCATCTAGTCCCTGCAAAGCCCACAGGGTTTCTCTCACATCGCCTTGAGTTAGAGTCTTCTGTATATAATCCTTTGCTGGGCCTCACCAGCCTGTGGGTACACTGGGATTACCCTCACTGCAGTAACTGGAATTTACCGGCTCTTTACCCTCTGTTTCAGCTCACCTTAAAGTCTCACCCAGTGAGAAGTGAGGAAACAGCGTCTCGCATGGGCTCCCTACTCTCCAGCTCTAGACCTCCTTCAAGTGGGCTCTTCTGGAGCCTCGCATCACTGCCTCCACGGCTGGTACCTGGCCCCACCTACCATGCTGAGATCCATGCCCTGGAGGCCACCATCTAGGAAATGCTCCCCAACCTCCGGCCCCTCATGTTGCAAGAGCGGCTCTCCCTATGGATCAAAGCCTCACCATGATTCAAGCAGAACTGCAGAGAACGGCTCCCTTCCATATTTCCTGGAAGCTGGAGAGCCCTCTCCCAAAAGGACGCATCCTCACCTATGGGGCAAGTCTGGAGAACGGTCACTGGCTTGCCCTCCTTCACTCTCCCTCACCCCCAGCTCCCAAGAGCTGAGCACCAACATTACAGTTGCCAGCTCTTTTCTCCCAAAGCAAAGCAGCTCAGGGAGCGTTGCCTATGCCCCCAGCCCTCCTGCAGGCCCTGACATGTCTGAGTCTCAAGTTTATGTCCACTTCCTTTTTGATCTTCCCTGGACATCATAAGCCCTCTCAGGACAGAGGAGCTTGTGTCTTATTTGACCAAAGCACGGAGTACCACAGCTGTTCACTGGCAGACAATGAACGAATAAAAGAACAAAGACACCCATCTACATAGTTTCTTTGGTGACCTACCCCTTCCAAGAGAGGTAGTAGAAAGCTGCCATATTGTTTCTAAAAATGTTGTATACTTAGGGATTTTGTTTATACAATTTACCTTGTTTCTCATCTCTCCAAATCTGACATTTTCCACTTAACAACTGCAGGTTAATATTCACCAGCCCTGTAGCATGAAAAACATTATTAGATTTCACTGGAATGAATGTTTTGTTTTTGACTCAAACAATAATAATATTCTTTTTAAAAAGTCCAACCAAGATTGCTCCTTCCAGTGCTGGGGCCCAAGCAGCAACCAAACGCCTGGTAATCAGACACTGAGCTCCTCGCAACGTGGCAATGAATGACTCTTTTCTTTCTCTCTTTGCTGGTCTTTTCTAGTCTTGCCTTCCATTTCACAGCTTTGTTAAATTCAGGTGAAGGTCAGAGCAAGGAACTATCTCAGGGTGGGAGGAACTGAATTTAGCCACACAGGGCCTCTCCCCAGTGAAAACATTTAGCACCCAGCCAAGGAGTCTGTCTCTAGATTCCAGGCGAGAAAAGCAGGAAGAAAAAAAAATCTCCCTTCAGAAAATGCCAATTTTGCTTTGCCCCAAGCTAACCCTGTTTCAGGTTTCAAGGAGGCAGTTCCCTGCAGAGGGGAAAGTGCTAGACCTGAATTCTATTTCTTGCACTCATTCTGATGCTCTGTGACCTCACCCTGGTCACTGGGCATTGTCCTGTTCCCACCCCCATTCTAGCGCTAAACCGCACCCCCTGGCCTTCCTCTCCTTACTGCAGTATTGGGTCTAAGACTCAGGAAGATTCTCCAAAATCTCAAACCAAAGTGGTCTTTTTAAAAACAAGGAGCCACTGGTGCCAACCAGCCCAAAGGGGTTTCTGGGAATGAGTCTCAAAAGGCTGGCTTCTTGCACTTCTGACACGAAAGTCTACAACAGATCACTAAGGAGTAGACATGGAGATACGCTATCTTCCAGGGGGTAGAATTCACCGGTTACCCGGAGGCATTCGAATGCCCACAAAATCTCCTCCTCTAGGAAGCCATGGCAAACCAATCTGCATCTAGCCCACATTTCAGGAACTTACTCTCATCTCATGGGAGCCATTAGTAGTGCTGGCAGCCATAAATTGTTGAAGCCAAAAAGCATGATCTTACAGGAAAGGGGAGAAAAAACCACTGGCTTTTGGAGGTGCTAGTCCTAGTGCATTTCATGAAAAAGACAGTGATCACGTGAAATAGTATACGACATTTTTCTGGTACTTTGTACAAACCATGATTACACATGGCGCTACAGCTGTGTTGCTGGAGGCAGTGCAGCCTTCCTCGAGAAGAAACACTTTAGACGAGAATAGCTGGATCAAATTCTGACTCTACTTAGGAACTGTGTGGCCTTGAGCACTTTACTTCATGTCTCAGCCTCAGTTTTTTCCATCCAACAGGGTTTCTAAATAGACCTGATTCATCATATTTCAAGACAACTGAGAAAATGCTTGTATAATGCTTAGCATGGTGTCTGAACAGGTCAATTACTTTATGAATGTTATCTATTAACAATAATAATACTAAAGTTCATGAAGAGAAAATCATACCCAGGGAACTCATGAATGATGAGCAAATGGAGTTGATTCTATTAATCCCGTCGTGCCCTTAAAGTAGCCTTCTTACTCTCTGAGCACCTATAACATGTCACTGTATCCTTTGTTTACTTGCTTCTATCCCCACTATTCTGAACCCCTCTTTTATGTGGTAGCATAACATCTCCTCTGGAACCTGTCCTGCAGAATCTTTGTTGAATGAATGAAAAGTAAAGCCATAAACTAATGAGTGAAGGAGTAAACAAGTGAATGAACACTCCCTTGAAGGGAATACTTGTCTCATTAAACCAAAAAAATTGTTTCTTGCACAAACTGTTTCTAGAAAAATAGTATTTTGCTTATTTATTATGGGTTTTCTATACTTTCCACCCTTTGTCTCTCAGGAACGCCAAGTCCCAGATTCAGAGTCATATCCTGAGAGTCGTTTCAGTGCTGAAAGTGTTAAACATAGTCTCCAAATCCTTGGGAGATTTTTGATAGGATGAGTCCATTTTCAATCCTGCTCTGCTCTCCAGATGTGGAAACCAGGCATTTCAGAGAGAACAAAAGGAAGGAGAAGCGGTAACTGCACAAATGAGCATCTCACTATGGAAATCACTAGGTCTTTGAGGAGTGCACGTTCTAAGCTTTCAAAAAGGAAGAGCTGTGAGCAAGCAGAATGAAGCCCGTCTGGCCTGGATGCATTTTCTTGTTCTGGCAGTGGGCAGGGGCAGGTTACTGCAGGTGCCACGACACCAGGGGACCCAGTTTAGTTTGTAGAATGTTCTCTAAATCATCACAACAGTTGCAGTGAATATTTTGGAAACTAAGAGAATCACTTTCAGGAATTTATCTCAAATGAGAACTTATTCAAACCGTTATTCAAGCTTACTCAAATGAACTTGAGCTCCTACTAACGGGACTGGCTATGAAACTTGCCAGTCCCAGTGCAAAATGAAAATGCAGAGCCTTTTTCAAAAATTATTAAGCACTTCAAGATGGTGACGGCAGAACATTAAAGCAAGCATACATCCTCTTCTGAGCAAGGGACCCTGAACAACTGCACAGGTCACAGGCCCTAAAATCAGCCCTGCCTGACAATGACTATCCACTAAGTGGAGCACCAGGAATCTGCAACCCCTCCACAGTCTGGCCAGCTGCCGGAGCAGAAAAACGAAAAACAGCTCCCAACGACAACTCAGCATCGGCTCTTCTCAGAACCACCACACTTCCTCATGGCTTCCATCAAAGGACCAGTTTCTACTAGTGTTATACTCCTTCAAGTCTTCAGTGTTCATAAATCAGGTCAAGGCTATCTTTAAAAAAAACACACACACACAACCTGCTGGATCTCAAGCCCTAGGGAATTGCCTCCCTAGTACTTGCCCTCGGTGTGGAATGACGTGCCTGCGTGGGGAGTGGGCAAGTGGAAACATCACTCACCGAAACCAGAGGCTAAATAAATGCAAGGTTGCAAACCCAGCCCCCGGGGAAAACACTGTTAGAAGACACGCCCCCGAAGTCCCTGCCTCACAGGGTACGCTACATAAGTAAATTAATTTCCGAATATTCGCTTCAAAACTGAAGAAAAGGAAAAAAAAAAACCTAAACACTGAAATAGCTGTAATTGCACAGAGGGAAAAGAGAAGCTGAGATGACCGGCAGCAGGGGCGGAATCTTTTTTCTCGTTGGTGGATAATTCGATAAGAAACCTGGACTCTGAGCGGCCTCACAATGGCCTATTTATCCGGCTCTCACGCACCGCCGGCAGCCCCGGCTGGGAATCACGGGGGTGGCAGCCGTCCCCGGAAAACGGCGGCGCTCCGGCACAGGAAAGCCAGCTGATAAACTGATCTGCAGACAACGCTTCTTCCTTCCTGGGAAGCAGCCACAAAGGCAGCCAGCTGACCTCGGCCGAGCGCGGTTCCCCGGCCGAGGAGGGCAAGAGGTGGGAGGAGGGCGGGCGGGAGAGCGGCGGGGAGGGGAGGAGGCAGGGAGTCGCCGACACCCTCGCTCCAACCCCCGGCCCCCCCCCCGTCCCAGCCCAAAGTTTTCTTTGGCAAGAGCATCACACGGCGTGATTCAGGCAGGGCCCAGGCTAGCAAAGCTCGGGCTCGGGATCTCTCCAAGCCGGGCGGGCGGGAAGGGCCTCCACGCCCCCTCCCACTCCCGACCCCCAGGCCCTTAGCAGTTCGGCTGCAACCGCGGGCCCTTCCGGCCGGGCTGGCTTGGCCCCGGGCTGGGAACCAGTTCGGTGGGGGGAACCGATTGGCAAGACCCTTACTGAGTGTCCCCTGGGGTGGCCCCTTCCTACGGCTTTTGGTCCAAAGCAAAAAGAAACATAGACGTTTGTGTCACCCTATTAAGCACACAGGGCTTTGAATCGTGCACCAGGCGCAAAGACTTATCCTGCCCTTGGCAGGGTGGCCCGGTAGATACAATAAAAACCTTTTGGGAGTTCCTAAAATTTCCCCCCTAACTTCCCTGGCAACGGAGAATCTTCATCGTTAATTTCCTCTCTCTACCTTTCTTTCAAGTGAAAACATCTTATTTTGATGTTATCATTTTAAAAAAGACAATTAGAAAAATCGGCAGGAGGTCAGATAGTGGATTCTGAGATGCTCCAGGCGCTCCCCAGGAAGCTGTTTTCGGGAGAGCTGCCCCAGCAGCTGGTCCCTGCTGCTCTCAGATGTGTGCTTTCACTCTTTCACTCCCCAAACAACTTGGATTGGAGTCCTGAGAGCGCCTCGGAATGAGCTGCCTACGGAGGAAAAAGTCTAGAAAAGGCATTCCACAGGCGTGGAATGGGGAAGGGAGCTAGCTCTGTGAACTCAGGCTCTCTGCATGCAGGCCGGGAGAGTGGTCTCCAGGCATCCAGGCCACAGGTGGGGCGTCAGGATGTTCTTGATCTGCTTTCCGAGTTGTACACAACTGCCACAAGGGGATTTGAGGGGGTCAAATCTCTAGCTGCTTGTATGCCCTAAGGCAAGAGGCACTACCTGTGGTCAGTTCACTGACCCGGACTCCAGAGGACTCCAAGGAGCCCATATCTCTTCCTTCCTGTCAGGATCCTGGACCCCAAAATTCCCATCTCCCAAACTTCTCTTACTCAATATACTGCCATTAACAGCATAGCCAGGCCTCTGGGCTGGAGCTCCGGAAGGAATTTCCTCTAATTTAGCGCCTGCAGAGAAGTGCTTTGGAGAGCTGGATGAGGTATTCCATGCCTAAGGGCACAAGGTCTCTGAGTTGACTCTTCTATAAACATTACTCTATTCCAAGCGACAGAGTTGTCTGTTGACCTAGAGGAACAAAGAAGTTGCTGGAAAGACCCCTGATGCTGTGTGTCGGTTTGAAGACCAAAGTTCATTAGCCCTACTAAGTAAGGCTTTCATGACCTACCGGGAACTGGCCTCCAGTCAGCCTGAAGATCCCCAGTCAGGTCCTGGGACCCTTCCAAACCCCCACAAGATTTCCCACATCTTGGAGGTTTGGAGTTCCCAGCAGAGAAAGATGTGACCGCAGCAAGCAGTAGTCACCTTTGGCCTGAAATGAACTTCTTGGGGTTTTTATATCCATCTACCCACTATGGGGCATTGTTTGCTACAGCGCTTCAGGAAAATAAAACGTAGCTCCTTCTTAGGAATAAACTGCAAACCCTGTTGGAGATACAGTTATTCTTATTAAAGTTTTGGACATATAGAAAAGAGTATGAACTGTGGTGACTATTTTCAGAGGAAGGAGACCGCATTTTCCAGGTCACAAGTTTTACAATCTATTCTTGATATCCAGATCTTTGCAAAGACATCTGGGTAAAGTTAAATTATTCCCTGAACACTTCTTTAGTTAACAGGAACCTATTAAGAAAGGCTGTTCTTTGCCTGCCCAGACTGTCTTCCACTCTGGCTGTCCCCACAGCCAATGGGACAATCTCTAAGAAGAATTTCGAACTCAGGGCATCCCAACCCATCCACATATCAGGAACCCTTTGTCTCTGCTTTATTGGATTGCAGACCTGGCCCCTGACTCCTGATGACTTGCTGTCTCCTACTCCCAATCTACCACCACCCCTCAGCTCT